CCTATTCGGACATCCAAAATGCAGCACCCTGTACAGGTTAAAGAAAATACATAATTTTTTGTTATTATAGACAATTAATTGTAGATTACATACCGAGGAAAATAATCTAATAATGTAATGTAATAATCATCCTTTTTAAAGGAAAGAAAGCCAATAAAAAATTCACTTCCTTATCAGTTTTTAGGTTGGACCACTTCCCAACCTGAACTGTATACTGTATATTTCATATCATTCTTAAATGAAGTTGAAATGTCATACTTTCCAACTTTTCACATGCAATGTAATTTGATTATTAGGTTATGATTGTGAATAAAATTAGTTTAGAAGTCGGAAAATACATTATTCCATTTCTTGGTCGGGAAGTAAAATTACTTATACAGGGTGTATTAGCGAGTTGAAAAAATCCATTAGTGAACTTTAAATGGTTAAATTAAAAAAAAATTGTATAGGACATTGATAGATACTAATCTAGTGCATCACCTAAAATTATTTTCAACCATACAGCATGTCCCAAAAATAAGAGACGATACAAACTTGTGGTTTTTTAAATGAAACGTCATATGTTTCTTAGCATTTTTGGATGTAGCCTTTTAATACAATGTTTTTACGCAAAACTTTTATTAGTCGATTTTGCTTAGTTTTAGAAATAAGACGTTTTTTTGACGAAAACATGCACTTTTTAATAATTTATCACACAAAAAGATAGCTAAAACAAATTTTTTCTTACTTCTGCAAAGAAAAAAGTACAMAATTTAAAGCTGTAGCAATTTTTTAGTGTTTTGTGTTTGTAAAGATTAATAAATTAAGAAGTTTGTTAAAAATTAAATAACTTAAAAAATTTAAATGGAACAAATAGAATTTTTTATTTGTGCATCTAATAGATTGATAAATTGTCTATCTAAAAAAAATAAACTTTTAATGTCTAGAATTGATAAATGAAAAGATATTTAACATTCAATATTAATTGTAGCAACAATGCCTATCAATATCTAAGCATTGTTGATACTATGGCAACCATAGTAATTCCACCACGGATCACTTATCAGTTAATTTATCCAGAGATTGTAAAAATCGTTATAAATACTAAAATTCGAATTATTTTATTGTAAAAATAAAGAATAATGGATTAAGTTTAACACAAATGTGATTATTAAGTGATATTTCTTCCATCTTTTGTGCAACTGTGAACTTTTTGGCTACTGAAACAATAGTAATTATTTTTTTTAATGGTTAACGTTAAATATCTTTTTAGTTATTAATTATGAACACCTAAAAGTAAATAATTTTAGAAAGACAATTTAATCATTTTTTTTAAATGCAAAAACAATAAATAGGGTGTTCCATTTAAATTTTTTAAGTTATTGAACATTTAACAAACGCCTTCATTTTTTTATTTTTGCAAATACAACACACAAAAAAATGTTACAACCTTATAGCTTGTACCTTCTTCTATGTGGTAGTAAAAAAAAATATTTCTAGATGTCTTAGTTTTTGTGTAATAAATTTTTAAAAAGTGCATGTTTTCGTCAATAAACAGTCTTATTTTTAAAACTAACCAATAAAAGTTTAGCTTAAAAACATTGTCATAAAAATCTGCATCCAAAAACGCTAAGAAACATATGGTGTTTTATTTAAAAAAACACAAGTTTGTATTGTAACTTATTTTTGAGACCAGCTGTATAGTTGAAAATATTTTTTGGGCGATGGACTAGATTAGTATCTATCAATGTCCTATAATATATAATTTTTTATTAATTAAAAAATTAATTAAAATGTAATTTTTAAAAAATTAAAAATATAATTTTTTATTAATTTTACCATTTAAAGGTCACTAATCGACTTTTTCCACTCGCTGGGACACCTTGAATGTAATAATAGTATCAATTTATTGAGGGTGAGTCTCTTGTTGAGATAACTTGAGTATGAAATATTTCCCACCACGGCTGTAATGTACTATTGTTACTATAGCTGCTGAATTGGAGTTTTGTCTTGTGCTTGATGAAAAATTGAAACAGAAAAAATGTGGTCGTGTTCTGCAGGAGCAGTATTACAATTAACAATCAGAATTTATGGTATAATTGTTATAAGACAGATCCGTTACTTTCCGTTACAAAAATCGGTTTGCAAATTTATAATACTGTAGTAGTTGCAATAAAACAATGGTGCTCAAGTATTTCTGCAATTCCAATAAATGTTCCCGAAGTTGAAAAGGGCCGTAAAACGCAGTCATAACCCTAGAACCCAACGACTACTGTTAATGTAAAATCTTGGTGGTCGTTCGGCTTTAATTTTTACAACCTGACGTGTGTGATTACTTTTAATTAATTCGTTAATGTATGCTAACCTCTTCTATAAAAATATCAGACAATCTTAAAATCTCCGTATCGATCTACATAAAATTCCCGATAAGATCGACTTGAAAAACCTGTAAATACTACGAATTTTCTGAAATTTTATCGATATTTACAGTTGGGCAAAAGTTTTTTGGTCATTTAGTGCATAATCCGGCATCGTCTTGCAATTAAATCCAACAGGAAAAGCAAAAAATTCCTTCACGACTTGTCAATGTAAAGCTGAATTTCTCATTATTATTGAAGCATAAAATAAAAAGGAAATGTTATTTCGGTTGAAGCCTTTTCGATTTCCTGCGCAAAAATGTGAAATTAGTTATGCAAATATACAGTCCCTATAATTTTAATCGAAACGTGATAAATAATTTAAAATTTTTGTGTTTCAACATAAATGGGGTCAAAATGTTAGTGTTTCATAATGTTGTCCGATTTAGTACCATAACATGATCTGCATTACCCGCAACATGCACAAATTTTTACCAATGTTATTTGCATTGAAAATGATGTTCGCTTCACTCTCTCTTTTTTACATAATCATATCTTACCATCAATACGTTCACTTTGGTTGACTTTATTGGATTAACAGTACTTACAGTTTTACATTGCAGTCATCAAAGTCGTTACTATTATAGGGGAAAGTCGGCCAAGTTCATTCTACTGGCCAACATTGCCGTATCCTCCATTGTTCCTTATGGGTAGCTATTAATTCGTAACTGATCAAGCCTTGTTTATTTTTACTGTTCAAACAATACAATTTTGAGACACTCTGTATCAGTGGCGGCTCGTAGACTTTTATTAAGAGGAGGCAGAGAGGCAGATCTTTTTTATACAGGGTGAATATAAAGTATGGAACCAAGCGGTTTTATTTTTAATCATTTGCCTCCGGAAAATAATAATTAATATAAATTAAAGTAATATAAACAATGTGATCGTAATTTCAGAACGAAATTTTGTTTTGTTTTGAGTTATGCGATTTTTTTTGTCAAAATTGCAATTTATGTGAAAAAATCTTTTTGAAGAAATTAAAAATAAAGCAGATAGTTGTAATCCTTAGAGTATAGCTTTTATGAGAAAAATGATTTTACAGTGGGTGGCCATTTAAAAAATTTTTTTGAAGAACTCAAAAATAAAAAGAAATTTCGAAAAATTTTATTCTTGTTAAATCATCACATTTTTATAGTACTTTAGCACTCATCAATTAGTTTTTTCAAAAAATAAATCGTTTAAGCAAAAAACGTTTGGTTCCATACTTTTTATTCACCTGGTACAGGTGCGTCAAAACTCGCGCCTCAGAGAAAAATGCTATATAAGGTAAGATACCAAAAACATGGAAAAATGTTACCGTTTGAAAACCACTTGTTTAAATCTCATTTATTTAAAAAATTACAGCTTAATTGAAAATCGATTTTTAGTTATATTGCTATTTAACATCGAAGAATAATATAAACCTAAATTTTGCTTTCTTTTTTTAATAGTATAGTACCTGATTGTCAAA